TATCAAAAAGAAATTCTCTCCCAGAGTCTCCATATCTGTCCTTACTTCCTCCTGGTGCTTCTTTACTTTAGGCTTGCTTTTCAGTTAGACAAGACTATGATTCTCAAATGAGGTCTTGCTTGGCTCCGGTTAGTATTAAAGAAGATCACACATGGTTGAAAAATATTGTTATTTTTCTTTAATGGGGAAAATTGGACTCCTGCGTGTCAGATCTGTGGATTTTCGAAAAGTGGTGGGAATGGTACTGACATCACTTTGCACTTTAACAATCCGATTTGGTCAGAGTACAAGTTGTTTGTTTAACCCGACAGCTCGGTGCACCCCGTCGCACGCTTTGCACACTCATTAAAACGATTATTCACGACCTGTCGAGTGTTTTCTGGTTCATTCACAGGAAAGGCTTGGAGCGAGAGAGCAATTCAAGTCAACACTGTCCACTACACCACGCACGTGAGGACGAGCTGGAGTGTGTTAAAAGATGCGTGCGTAAAAGATGTGTGCGTAAAAGATTCAGGAAGGGTGGGCCAGTGTGTAGCTGTAAGTCCTGCTCACCATGGGATGCTCTGGAATCCCAGCCTCCTTAGAGGGCCTGGAGGTCTTGGTTACCCGGCAGTCACTTCACTGTACTAATTTCAAAGGCTTGACACGGGAAAGAAAAAGCAAACCAAACCAAACAAATAAAGATAGCTCTCTCTGCCACTCCTTTCAACCTTCTGCAAACTTCAGATCCCTGGAATGGCCCACCTTCTGCCTGCTGCCTCCCGGCTCAGCAGCCCTTCTATCATTGGACAATGCTGAGTAAAGCTCTCCAGGGTGAGGAGGAGAATCATTCCATGTTCCATCCCCCAAGGTCCTTGAGATCACATAAAGAATTTGGGATTTTGTTTTTTCTGTATACCTTACCTCGATTGGGTGAAGGGCTCGGCAAAAGAAAGAAAAATAGGGTTCCTGGACTCCTTGGGCACACATACTCCTTATTGTTAATATGGCCTTGGGGCTGGTCCTCCACACTGAGAAACGCCCCACAGAATGTGTATTAAATAGTCCTCAATAAGTCAGGCAACTTCTGTTTTTGTTTGTCAATTTTCAAGCAACCTTTCAACATTTTATAATGACAAAAGGGGACAATAAACGTGGATTTCTCGCCACCTCCCCTTGCCTTGCACTGACAACAGACACACTGAACGGTCGGATAGCCTGTTTCTAAGTGTTGAGTCCTGGCCTATACCTCCCTGTATAATTATGTGATGTATTGGTGGTAAAGACAGGCCTATCTTCATAAAATGTAGGCACACATGTACACTACACAATAGAATATATGTGCACACGTGGATTTCAGATATATTCAAAGCTTCAGAATGCTTTCTTCAGGATAAGGACCCCTGGCATAATTTACAGTTAGCAGTTGTTGTACAGCAAATGCCATATATCTATATTTCAATGGTTATCCCAAACGGTGAGCTTATTTTGTGAGGCTAACTAGCCATGCCCATGCCATCTGAAAATGATGTCTCATTTGTCAGTTTCATCCTATTCAACTTAACATCACCAAATCATGTTTTTCTGTTTCACTGAAACACCACTTTTCTTCAATATAATGATTGATTTTCTTTTGAAGAAAAGAATGGAAGATTCCAAGCTGCTAGAGGTTTGAATCAGAAACATGTTTCTAATTACTAAAAGGCAGGGATGAATAAAGACTTTCTAAACTGGTTGCACTGTCACACTTCACTATCAGGTGAAATGGACGGTTCAGTGTGTTCCATTTCCTACATAAGGTCCTTCCATAAAGCAACGTGAGGCAGTAATCCAGGGAGATGATAAAACATGTAAGTAAACAACTGAAGGCCTCTGCATAAATAGACATGCATCAACATAGCAATAGAGAGCGCTATCGACACAGCAATGATCGATCTTAGTCCTCCAACCTGCAATCAGAGCTTGCAGTGTTTAATTAATAGTATATTTTTCAGAAAAATAGATGATGAAAGAAAGAAAGAAACAATACCTGCTGTCAGTTCCACCTGATGCTACTTAATTTTTTTCCCAGAGTATTTTTGATAAGGGGGGAAGACTACTCTTTTTTTCCCAAGAAAGCTTTGCCAACCTTTAAAATCACATCATTAATTATAGAAATTATCAAAGTATCAAATAATAAAATTACCACCTTATTCTTGCTCTGAATTTTTCAACCTTCATCCTAGTCTCTAATTATTCATTCAGTACATCTTAATAGGAAAAACACATAATCGTGCTTTTTTCTTTTCAAAGCTGTATCAAAATACTACGGTACTACTGGGTTTGAAGATTCTTTGGGCTATCTGTTATAATAAATGAGGAAGCTATCATTTCCTCAGTATCTATGAAAGCCCTCTCTCCCATGGCTATGTAAGCTTCGTGAAACAAGAAAAGGGGAAATCGGCATTATTTCAAGATGATTTCAAACTGTAAATGTAAAAATGAACACCAAGACCCAAATAAATCACTGCTTTAGATTTCTAGAATGCTCATCTTAATAAAAACAAAACAAAACAAAAACATTTCGGGTTTCCTGCAGTTAATCGTTTTTAAAATCTCGGAACAGTCATGGAAATCTTGTCCGCGTCCTCTACAAAGATGCTCATCCACACGCATCCTTTAGATTTCTGAAACACAGGTCTTTGAAAGAATTCCCAATTTATAAGGTTCAACTATCTAGAAAGTGATTTTGCCTCCATACTATCGCTGCGCATAAATCTCGATTATGAGTCTTTGTATAGCAGTGTGCAACCTGGCCTTTACTCCTGTCATTTCCTTCTAGGGCCAAGAATTCAGGAGCATCCAGACCAAAAAGGGAAATATCATCAGTTATTGTTGAGGGCTAATTTAACAGATAATTTAACTTCAAACAACAATGACCAGGTCATTAAATTTCGGAGCCACGAGAGAAGGAAAGAGCCAAGAGACAACACTCTCTAACCCCATTACAGTGCTCAGTCTTCCCGCTCAATCACAGGGATTCTTAAAAGCGACTGTGCCTATGCGGGAAGAGACCTTTGCTGCCTAGAACGCACCGATTCTGACTCGAAGAACGAATGAGGACGAAGGAAACAGAAGCGGAAGAAGGAGGCTTGAATTCGGAGCTTTTAGCAATGTAGAAAAAATTCAACCTGAGCCCAAAACGAATTTCCAAACGGTTACTGAGCAGGTCCTTTCGCCTGTTCTTTCCCTCTGGAGGCTCCAAACCTCACCAAACGCTCGGCGCTTTCCTCCCCTGCGGCTTCTCCGCCAGGCGGAACAGTTAAATGCCACAGGCTACCGGCCTCGGAAAAGACTTAGGACATCTCCCTTCAGGGCTTCCCATACACGGTCCTGGATGCTTTGTTATAATCTCAAGTGCCTTTCTCCTATCACAACTACGGGATTTCTGCCTACCTTACGTTTGGCTAGAGGGCCAGGATGTAGAGGTGTGGAGACCAAGAAACTGGGTATGGCGGGAGGGAGAGAGAGGCAGGTGGAAGCGCCCCGCTCCATCCCTCCGAGTCCATTCTTTCCAGGATGAAGAAAACAGCCGGCGAATCTCCATGATTTGTAGGCCGCCTGCCCCCACTTCTGCCTCCCCAGCTGCAGGCGGCTCCGGGCGCTCCGGGAATTCCCACCCCGAGGCTCCTCTTTCCGGATGACCCCAGTCCAGGGCCGAAAAGCAGCAGGAGGCCGAAGTGACGGGACTGAACCAAGAAAGGATGTCTGCTGTAGAAAACGCCCCTACCAACTGCCAAGTGAGCGCTGAGACCTGAAAGCGCGCCGGGCAAACAAAAAGAAACTACTTCCAGAAGGAAAAGGAGAGGAGACCACGGGAAGGAAAGGTGCCCGGCGCGCGGCTCCAGAGGCCTCTTCCCGCACGGCGGCCGCCGGGCTTGCGCTGGGCAAGAGCGCCCTCGCGTTGCGGCTCCCGGGCAGCGCCGCGTCCTCCGCAGGGAGCCGCTGGCAGGGGCGCAAGGCCGGTAGCCGGATCCTCGACCCCCGCCCAGCTCGGCAGCCTCCGCCTGATCTCCAAACCCGAGACCCGGCCGCGGCCGGCTTTGCACTCCGAGCGCTGGAGCCCCGCGGTATCCCCCTCTCCCTCATCCTCAGCCCTGCCCCGGGGCGCACCGCACAGGCCGAAGGGACCCCGCTCCCGGCCCCAGGGGCGCTGGGGTGGAGGCAGCCTGAGCAGGGCGCACTCGCAGCCACTCTGGGACAGCCAGGCTCCTAAGTGTGCATTAAGAATCAATTATTTGCCTGAGATTTCCAAAGCCGGGAACTGAGCTATTCCCAGCAGGGACAAAAGTCAAGCCCAGAACGGTGCTCATTTCTCCAGTTTTTCCAAGAGGCGAAGAAGAATCCCTCCCGTGAAAGGCGCGCGGAACTGGGACCCGGAGCAGGGGGCTAATTCCTGCCCCGAGCCTGGCCTCACCCCCGGCCTAGGGACCCGCAGAGACCCGCAAGCTTGGGGCCAGGCTGCCAAGGCCAGAAAACAGGAGAGGAAGAGGGGGATTCCCCATATAAAGAGGAGCGGGGAGAGAAGAGAGAGGAGCTAGGGAAGGTATCCTTGTCTATAGAGTAAAAAGCTTTATCTTAAATACCTAGAGGAAATAATCTTGGGTTTGAACGTTTAATTCCCTAGTAATCGAAAGCAGCCAGAAAACTCAGACATCTCCTTGCCATGAAACGAATTACCTTCCACTTGAGGACCTGCTGGCTGTCTCCCCCTGCCTTCTCCATATAAAACTGTCTTTTCTTTCCTTTTTGGAGAATCTTCATTCTAGGAATCCACTACGATCTACTTCAACGTTGATGAATCATGCATTCTTTCACCTAAGTCTGGGAATTGCACTCGCTGGCAACAATTTCCAAGAAAAAACAAAAAACAAACAAAAACACTTAAGCCCTGGAACCGAGTCCTGGTTCAAAGGTCCTACAGCAGTCAGTGGGACACACTCCCCACCCCACCACGTGCCTCAGAACGCACTTTCACTTACCGGTCTCGGGGTAAGAGCGCTGCCAATTCTCAAGTCTTTGTCTTTGGTGCTATCCTCCTGACGTCTAGGAGAGCCTTGGGTGGAGGGCAAAAAGAAGAAAAAAGGAAAAAAAACCAAAACCAAACAAACAAACAAAAAACCACCACCACCAAATCGGGAGGAAGAAAGACAAAACAATACCACGTCACACATTCACAGTCTGAGACCCTGGGCCTCCCTTTCCAGGACCAGGTCCCCAAGAAACTAACTTGGAGTGGGGAAAGAGTCAGTTTGAAAACTAAGAAGTGGCCCCTTGTTAACTACTGGTGGTTAGGGGAGGGGGGTCGTGGAGGAATGATGGGGCAGGACAATTTGGAAAATGAAACACTTAAAAAAAAAGAAGCAAAAGAAAATTGAAATACTAACGGGAAGACCACGAACACCATTTAACTCTTACAGGTAGGCTTCCGTTTGGGAAAGAGAAATCTAAATGACATCTATTCTTTCTGTAACCCCAGGCTCTAGGCTTGAGCAGAAGCATAAAGAGGGTGAAATTTTGAATTCAACTTTCACCTACCCTGCTTCTTGAAATGGCTGCGCAGATTTTCGCGTCGCAGAGTTCCATCTGTCTGGCAGAAGCTGGAGTGGTGTTGAGGGCAGGTTATCTGCTGAAGTAGGAATGTACAGGAACCCCGCCCTCTAGGCACAGTTACACAACCCCAACAACCCTTCTCAGCCAGTCCTAAAACCTCTAATGATCTTCACCTTCACCCTTTGTTAACCTAATTCTCCAACAGGCTTTCAGCCTCAAACACAACCGACCACTTTATTCACAAAATTAATTTCTCAAAAGTAAAATTATTTCGGTGCATGCAAATTCCTCAGTAAGGATGTAGAAAGCATATGTTGTAAAACCCCATACTTTTATAGAGTTCTAATACACTGAATTTATTCATCTACTGGGGTGAAATATATGCCAACATAAACATATATTATGATCAGTACACTTCAAGACACATCTATGGCCTCTCTGCTCTAGCTCTAGGTTTCATTGATAGAAGCAGCATGAAATCACTAGGACCAAAGGACACTTGCATTAAACAGTTTTAGATTTTTATGTGTGCTTGATTTCCAGTTTTGTAACCAGAGGAAGAAACATTAGGAAGAATTCCCTCACTGCTCCATTCTACATTATTCCTCTGTGTTTTATGTATTAATAATTGCATTAACTTTAATCTATACAGATTCATGTAAATTTACTAAAACCTCTAAATCGGTAATATTATAATTTAGGGTCTCACATTTGAACTTGTGATCATTTTCTTTTCCAAAATTTCAAAAAGGGCAACCTCTATTTCATTTAAAACAATTATAAGTATGAAAACAAACTTCAAAAGTTTTCGAAGTATTTTTCTGGTATGAACTCACTGTAACTGGCAAAAGTTGGTGACATAGCAAAACATTGCAAAAATAAATGTCTCAATGCCATGCCAGACTGTCATGCCCCCCCCAACCCACACCAAGATAACTTGAGGATGATAAGATAGATCACAATAATTGGGTTTCAAAGAAGGCTTTACCAAGTTCTTTCTCTCTCTATGTATTACTCCCCCCTTCATGTCCAGAATGCCTACAAAACAGCCTTCTAACCCTATCCACCTCACATGCAACTCGAAGAGGCGCCAAAGGAGGACTTCCACTTCTGTTCCCTATGAATGCAAAAAAAGTCCATTTCAACTCTTGACTTCAGAGTACAAAGTTTGCCGTTGAAGTGATAATTCTTTATCTTCCAAATAAAATATTATAAAATCATTAAGTATATTATTCTGACCAGAGGAAAAATAAATGGAAGAAATGTTTCTTCACTATCCGGACCCTCTTGCTGCACTGTAAGAATTCAACGTTCTTTTCAGCATTTGATAAGCAAAGTCCTGTATTGACTCTGTGGTAGTACAAGCTCACTTCACAAGTAAAAGCCATGCAGAAACAAACAGTAAATCACCACTGTTTTGTTTTCTAAGCATATGCTTTTTCATTGAGCGAGTTTGGGTCGCAGCAAAGCGGATTTCCTTTGACTAACTTTGGCACTAGCATGCAATTTTTATTTTTCACAGTAATTAATTTGTGAAAATTTTTATGTGATTCGTTCTAAGCAATTGTTTGATTTCAAGACATATCTAAGAGGACTCTATTCTCACACTAAGAAAATCATAATCTCACTAATGGAGACAATTAAAATAGTTGTTTTAGTCCATTTTCACCCACCTATTCCCTCTCTTTTTTAAAAAATATTTGATTCCAGCATTTAACTTTTTCCTGGGATACATTCATTCTTTTCTCTTGTTGTGCTAGCCATTTATGTGGTTATTTGGTCTTGAAGCTGGTGTTGGATCATCCATTGATGTTTTTCCCTTGGCTCCTTCATAACGTTCTCCAAAGTTATGAGAGCTCGCCTTCAGGGGAAGTGGTGGCAGGTCAGTTGCAGCTCTATTGATCCAAATCCAGTGTCCAAAGTATGTTCGTCTTTGGCAGTAGGGTCTTACCTTCAAGTTCTGGGAGGTCATCAAGGGCTGTGGCAGTAACCTGCATAATTTAATTTTGGAAGTCTCTTGGACCACCCTGGCCAACAACTCAAAAGATGGTATCTCTTGTCTGGCACTGTTTCTTGCTATGTAGTCGAGCCTTTAGCTATACACATGGGCTCATGTAGGGATACTGTATGCGTAATTTATCATACATTGTTGAACTAATATCTTTCTATTTTTTTTAACTAGCTAGGCATTGTTTATCTCTTCTCTCTCTCTCTCTCTCTCTCTCTCTGTCTCCATTCAGAATCCAACCACCCCATTTTCTAACATCAACTATTCTACACGTCCATTTCAAATCAACTTTAGCCAACTTGCTTCCCCACTAGTTTTGTTTTGTTTTTTTTTTTTTTTTCTCCCCCTTCCCTGACAACTCTCTAAGTGTTTGCTGATAACATCTTAGGGACAGATTATTTTTCAGTCGGCCCATTGTAAGAAGTAGCCAGCTTATTGCATTACTGCAGAACACATTTCAGACTATACAACTGTAACAAATGAACAACTTGTCCTCCACAGACTCACCACAGGATCCAATTAATTACTAAACCTTTAACTCAGGTTTTCTAATTATTTTCTGGAATTATAGCAACCGGGCTGCCTGAATGTTTGAAAAAGTTTTCATTTTGCTTGGAATATATGCATACATACATTCAATGTATCTCATATGTGTGGTATATATGCATATTACAGACTAAAACAAAACTTTGATTTGGTATAAGCAAAAAGAACAAATCTGTAAATTAAATCATACAAATATACTGAAAAGAGAATCAAATTCCTCTGTGTTGCAAAACATGGGGGAAAAGAGGAGAAAGAGGCATTTTACTTCTGAGTAACTAGAGTTTTAAGTTGTTATAATTTAAAATTAAAATAGCAACATCCATCTGAAAGTCATTACAACAGGTGATCACTTCAGCAAGATCTACATTGCAACTTCAGCACATCTTTATTAGAATTCTTTCATTGTGGGGAAACAGCCACAAAAATAAATGCTGACTTAGAAAGTATAAATACAAATATTTAAACAAAAATGTTTGCAGCATCCATAGCGCAAATCGTACCTGAACTGAAGGGCTCTCTGTCTATATATTTATATTTATATATATATTACATATGTGTTCATTATTCACTTCTATCTATCCATATACATATATTTCTTTATAATTTGCCAAGTGCTATAAACAAGATACCTGAAACAAATATATATATAAAAAGCACTCTATAAACTGATCTTAAAATAAGCACAGAGTAAACAGCTATGCACATAAAATTAAATCTTTTTTTTTTTGCTGTATATCCACAAAAACTTAAAAGATATCAGCTGAAAAGCCTATATTTTGCTTAAAGCTAGTGTTTATTAAGTAACCTGCTCCAGGTAAAATTTGTCCACAAAAGGGAAAAAAATACTATTTTCAATTTTAGAGTCTCAGTTCAAATTAAAGGAGCAGTTTAAATCACAGTTTGGCTGAAAAAGCCTTTGAATTCCCTATAAATTGAATGGCCTTTTAAAAATCAGCTCTACTTAATAAAAGAGACAAAAGTATCAAGATATATATGAATTTAGCCTATTTTTTATTTCTGTGTGTTCATAGTAAACATTTTTGTAAGTGACAAACACGGGCATATGGACCACAGTATCACAATCAAGAAATTGTAAGACAACATTAACAATCACTCAAATTGGTGCGGCATTTGCGCAACACGGGTTACATATTTGCAAGGTTTACCTATAAGTACAATAGGTATTAACATTTCACTACATTTAGAAAAAAATAAAAGTGACCTGTTAGTGACCACATACATCGAAATATACACAACACAAACTGAAGGCAATCCTTAATTTTGTCCCCTTCCGATTCAACTGAATGGGCGCTGTTGCCCAACTGAAACAGCTTTCCTTTTTTGTTTGTTTGTTTGAATACTCAGAATACCAAGTGCATTTGCTAGAATCCAATCTTTGGTCTAAAAGTAAACAAAAGAAAGAAAGAAAAAAAAAAACAGTTCTTTAAAGGAAAATTCAAACAATAAATGGCCAATATAATAATTTCTTGGGCACCTTTACTACAAATGCTTCTTAAATACAAATTACAGTTTAACATTTTAAAACTCTCTCCATAATTTAGGTTGTTCTCAAGGCCTGCATCCACCAGAAAGCTCCAGGATAACTTATAATACTGCACACACGGGAATCTGGCAGCCTTTAGAGATAGACTTGTCAGGTTGGAATGAAATGGTAAAGCAGTCACTATTTAGATACACACCCTACTATAATTTGACTTCCAAACCTTATATTCTACAACGTCTTCTCCCCACATTGCACCTCGCTGACACTCCACACCTTGTTAGAATAGTAAACAACCCTAGAGACCGAACAGACATACAGAAAGGGGGCGGGGGCTTAATAAAAAATACCTGGACTTATTTTCTTTTAATTATCATTTACAATGCAAATGTGTGTAAAACGTTCACTTACAGTCTGGTCCCCGGGACGTTAATGTATTAAAGGGTTGGAGGAAGACCCCTGATTTTGATGCGTGAAATAATCAGACAGTCCCCCGGACAGTCCTGTCGTGAAACTCGGCAAAGAGGGTCTTAAGGACTCGCAGGGCAGCGTCGACGGCGCCTGCGGCGACGTGGACGAGGACGCGGCCCGGGCGCTCATGGACGTGCTGCTCTGCGAGATGGACGGGTGCGGGACGTGGGGGAAAAAGTAACTGGTCTGGCCCGCGAGCAGGTTCACCGAGCAGGGGTTGAGCGAGTAGGTCCCCGAGCAGGGCACCGACAGCCCGCACGGCACCGACGCGGCCAGCGCGGCCGCCGTCAGGTGGTGCGTGGCGTACGGCAGCTCCCCGTTGACCAGCCGGTCCACGCTCAGCCCGTTGGCCGTGGAGAAGGAGTGGTTGTTCCCCAGCGAGTTCTGCGTCAGCACCGAGCTGTAGGGCATCGGGTGGCTGGGGTAGGCCGACGCGCTGCCGTTGTAGCTCAGGGTGCCGCCGGCGCGGGGGTGGTGCAGGGACAGGAAGGGCGACATGGGCCAGTAGAGCGAGCCCGCGCGGTCCATGAAGGTGAGGCCGGTGGAGGTGAGGCGCGCGCCGCGCTTGAAGGCCAGCTTGGCGCGGGACGTGGTGGAGCGGCGGCGCAGCTTGCCGGTGGTGCCGCCGATGAACACGTCGTCGCTCGACGGGTCCAGCATCCAGTAGTTGCCCTTGCCCGGGTCGTCGTAGTGGCGCGGCACCTTCACGAAGCACTTGTTGAGCGACAGGTTGTGGCGGATGGAGTTCTGCCAGCCCTGCTTGTTCTCGCGGTAGTACGGGAAGTTCTTCATGATGAACTCGTAGATGCCGTTGAGCGTCAGGCGCTTCTCGGGGCTCTGGCGGATGGCCATCATGATGAGCGCGTTGTAGCTGAACGGCGGCTTCTCGTACTTGCCGTTCTTCTTGTCGCCCTCCTTGCCCCCCTCCCCGTCCTTGCCGCCCTCGCCCGCCCCCTTCTTGTCCTCCCCCCCGGCGCCCGCGCCCTTGTCCTTGTCGTCCGGCCCGACGGGCGCCAGCTCCGCGGGGCCCGGCTCGGCCTTGGCGTCGGGCTTGGCGGCGTCCAGCGCGGCGGGCGGCGGCGGCAGCAG